TTATTATTATTACTATTATTATTATATTATTATTACAGAGAAACAATATTATTATCATTATTATTAGTAGCATTAGTATTAGTATTATATTATTATCACAGGGAAACATTATAATTAGTAGTATCATTATTATTATTATTATCTTATTACAGAGAAATATTATTCTTATTATTATATTATTATTACAGAGAACATTATTATCATTATTATTATTATTATTATTATTAAATTATTATTACAGAGAAACATTATTATTATTATTATATTCCTCGTATGTTAAGACGCTACAAGGGGGAAGACGGACTCTATCATCATCATCATCATCATCATCAACATCATCCTAACGACCTCCCTGTGGCTGGTCGGAACTCTATTGGCCCTCCCTTTCGACACTATTTGGTCCTGCATTGCTGTCCCCAGATCCCCAATGTCCAACCCTGAGTCCTGAGCTATGGTGTCTGGGGAAAATCAATTTTCATGAGAAGACACTTCCAGAAGGATGCCATAGAAGTAAGAATGAGACAATCTCCCTGTCTGCTTGGTGGCATTGGCCAACAAACTGCAATCGCTTTTGTTTGAGCTTAAGAGAGATTGGTCTCAGTTCTCCATAAATTGTGTTAAGCATTGCATGGAATCTCCAACTGATGTTCTGGATTTTTGTAAGCAAATTTGTATGTTCCATCTAGTCGTTTTTCAAGATGAACAGATAATGTCCAAGTTTCTGATCCATACATTAGGATTGGTTCAATAAATTTTTGAAAGGTTTAGACTTTCAAGGAAGGTTTGAATGCCAAATCTTGTGAAGTTTGTTACATGCATCACATGCAAGAGCTTTGCAAATGTTGAAGTCTTTTCGAGAGTTTATTATATGAGCTCCAAGATATTTGAAGTCCTCAACTCTTTTGATGGATGTATTATTCAACTCGGGTGGTCCATGGGAGTTTGTGATATATTCTGTCTTACTCACATTGCAATAGAGACCTACCTGGTTCACAACTTGTTCGGTTTCATGCTAATTACATGTTAATCATCATGCCATATGCTAATTTCATGTTAATCATCATGCCATATTTTTTGGTTTTGATGGCCTGACGATTGTGTTAAATCAGACTGTCACCTCTGGGTGTTGATGTCAATGTCCACTAATCTATTTCACTGTTATAATTCTAGTTTTTGAAGATGAACAGATAATGTCCAAGTTTCTGATCCATACATTAGGACTGGTTCAATTAATGCCCGAAAGGTTAAGGCTTTTAAGGAGAATGGAAGATTCAAGCGTCAAAGTTTGTGAAATTTGTTACACGCATCCCATGCACCGTATAATTAGCTAGGTACTTTTGAAGAAAAACAGTTCGAGGATTTAATGGCTTAACTTACATGAAAGACTGGCAGAGGAGTTTTTCCTGGTGTCCGCGTAGGTTTTATCATCTTTCAGTTGCGTCTCTCTTCGGGTCAGAGGTCAGAGGGGCAACTGGGGAAAATAAAACTGTTAGGGAACAGCTACCCTAAGCAGGACCCTCTCATGGCACAAGAGAGAGGTATCGGTGCTCACACTGAGGCCAGCGGAACTGACGGTTGTGGGGGGCTCGGGAAATTTTTGTCCTTATATGCGCTCGGGTTCCTCACATTAAACTCGACCTTCTGTCACAACTCGCCTGCAGTGAGGGGCGAGTGGCGACAAGGTAAATGCACTTACTTTTATGTCAAAGTCACCGATGGTGTCATTTTTCTTTCTGTCAATGTAAATTATTATAAAGGGTGTCCCAAAAAATATATAAATATACACATACATACATACATATACACACACACACATAGGAAAAAGGGAAATGAGGGCGATTCGACTGTATAAAAGTAGCATGGGGGGGGTCCACGTTGTAAGATTCTCAAATGGTGGAACTAAAGAATGGAGCTCGTCCGAACATTTGGGATGGAAATAGGGAGAGGGGAGCGATAGTCTTGCAAATGTTGTGTCTGTGGGAAAGAGTTTGAAGAGTAGAGAATAACTTATCCCTCTCCCTAAGACCACGTACTCGATTTAGAACGCTATCAAGGCTGGAAATTTACAGTTGAGTACCTTTAGCCCAGATATGCCAGCAACACTTCATTTTTGGTATAATCTAAAGGGAAATCATGGTAAAAGGAGTTCGGTATTTCCTGGAGTGATAGAATCAGTTGGCTATTTTTCAAGCATGTGTGGCAATGGATTATATATATGAGTTCTACATAGAGTCCGGGGTGAATTGAGACCCGATAGACGTTTAGAGCATGCATCCTGCTTGGGAGTGGAATCCTTCATCGTGAAGGAAGAAAACTCGGCATCGAAACTGTGATGATGAAACGGCACCGGCTCGGCAAGTGGCATGGACTTACCAGCCTTGAAAATCAGAGTTCGTCATCAGAGCTTTAATCTAGGCTCGAACAACGACAAATGGCACCAGTGTAAATGTGCAACTACTTCACCCACGAGGTAAACAGAGGGGATTTTCACTGAGCTTAAGTCTTGAACAATGACAAATGAAGAGAAATGCAGCGAGTCTTGCAACTTGTGTTGGACTACCTGCCTTTAATAACTTTTATTTGGCAGCAAACTGACTGCGTCCGTATTGGAAATGAGTTAAGTAAATATACAAAAACAAAAAGGGATGTAAGACAAGGATGAATCGTCTCACCAGACCTTTACAGCTATGTTCTGTTTCAGCATTTAATAACTTTTATTTGAGTTCGAACACTAGCCCCCTGCGTTAGAATGGTCGTAATATTGCATCGAGATTACGCATCGGAATTTTTTGAAGGTGTTGTAACCTAGGAAGGGTTACTGAATGAGGAATAACCAAAACGGAGGTTGGAAATGAAATGGTTATCCTAATAACATCAACAAAATACAGTACTCGCCAGCAGCTTGAAGTAGGTAAACCACTGATAGTTGTGGACTACTTAGACAGCGTATTATTCCCACTTACAGTAGTGTCTAACGTATTTATGAGGATTGGGACATACCCATTAGAGTTCATAGATATAGTATATAACAGAAGGTTACAGAATATACTTGAAGCTGTTCTACGGAGAAAGGAAAAAAATCTTTGATATGAGTGAATTATGAAGTTGCCTAAAAGACCTTTTGAAGATAACAGAATGCAACTAATTAATGTCGAAAATAAAATAAATGGTCCTTTTTTTTTCATTCCTTTAAGTAGTTCAGCGCCATAACTGATACACTCTTGGCCGATCAGGTATCTTTAGATTCATAACTCACTCAGCTGAAGATTTCCTGCGGGGAGGGGTAGAGAGGGATCCATGCATTTCCTGTCGTTATTTGTGCTTAAGTGAATGTAATGAACCCGACTGGAATTCAAACTCGGCTCTCTGATTTCCCATTCCGAGCCGATATACATTACTCCACACTGCGCATGTTCGGCACATTCACTTATTCGCAAATAACCTTGGGAAACGTATGAATCAATCTATCTCCCCACCTCAACGAATTGAATAGCAGGAAAGACTGAACCCTATAGGCTGTGTTGATAACCAGTCTACCGCAGAAAGAAACAGAAACCAATTGCGGGAAAATCTCCTACCTAGGCAGGCATGAATTGATAAAGACATGCATGAAATTGTTACGCCCTTCGTTAGACGAGAGAAGATCAATATGTCACTTCCCTGACAATTTTTGATCTTAAATTCTCACTGTATAATGTCTTACCCTAATATTCAGTACTTAAGTGTATGAACAAGAAAGGAGATTATGTTAAAAAAAATAAATGTGTTGTGCACAAAGTTTTTTCAATAATAAGTCTATAGTTTTATTGATGTATTACCGCATAAATGTATACAGGAGGTTGCTCCGAAAGTAATGGCTACTATTTTGTTATGTTGACCAACAACATCAGATATTTGTTACATAGTAGTAAAGGGCAAAACTTCCTGCTAATAACCAATATTTTGTTTTTACCTTTTTAAAATTAGCAACTGTTGTCACCTAGTGAAAGTTACTGAATAGAATAATCACACGAATGTTGGTAATGAACGATAATACTCAGGACACGAACAACACATATAAGATTCGCCAGCGGCGCGTAGAAGTGAGTCAAGTGAATTCCACGATGAATCTCCAACTGCAGGACCACATGGTTAAAACCCCACATGGTTAAAAGTGGCACAATGCCAAATTTAATATGGGCTATCCGAGCCCATAGGTTTGACCAAAAATTACCCGTAGCTATTTCTCGAGACGAGACGAGTCTCGTCTGGGGATCCTCTCTGCCCGGAGGCAGAGAGTTTGACCAGCGCAGCTGAAGACGAATCTTCAAACTGCAGGATATCTACCAAACCGGCCCATGCGGTCAGATGTGGCACAAGGCCGAATTTAATGTGGGGTATCCCAGCTCGGTCAAAAATTCCCCGTAGAGCTCGTATAAAACAGGGTCGAGTAGCTGCCCTCTGACAGAGCCTCGTCTGGGGATTCCGAGGCAGAGCGTTTGACCAGCACCGCTGAAAACGTATCTCCAACTGCAGACCAACATACAGTATTTACTACTGTATTTATGTGAATATGTGTTATCGTCCATAGGTATGCTACAACAGTGACTGAATTTGGCAAAATGACATCAGTCTGTATGAAGTCGAGGAGTGTCCTTGTCTTCTTCTATGAGGAAAAATTGAACCCGTTGATACTGGACTCCTACGTTGACCTAATAGTGGATGTGAGCACTGTTAAGTAGCGAATAATTCGTTTCAGTAATGATTACAAGCGTTGTGGGGATCGCATCTGTTTCAGATTTTTACAAGCTTTGCATGCAGGATATTTTTCATCAATGGTTTAAAAATAATATTTCTCGGTGAAAACTTCTATTACTCAACGGTGTTATTATGTTCACTGAATTTGTTATAATTTACACGGAAATAAATAGGAAGCATTACTTTTGGAGCGTCCTCTCGTACATTTTAAATACATTATTAATGAGTGTAGTTGAAAACTTGCTCTATTCAACGGTGATATTATGCTCCCTGAATTTGTTGTGTATTTCTTTCTTTCTTTCTTTCTTTCTTTCTTTCTTTCTTTTTTGTCTTTCTTTTTTCAGCATCGTCCTCTGTGCTTTCAGAGTTTCTATCTTTCTCGCTCTCTTTTTCTCTGTCTCTTTATTTCTCTCTCTTTATTGCTTTCTCCCTTCCTCTCTCTCTCTCTTGCTCTCTCTCTCACGTGCGTGTTTCTATTTTATTTATTTTTCTTTGTTGCGTTTATATTTCTTCTTTCTCTATTTCCCTCTCTCTCTTTCTTTCTCTCTTTTTCTTTCTTTTTTATGTCCTGTCTCCTGAATAGGCCGACTGCACTTCTGCACACAATGAGGCGACCTGTGTAAGATGATAAGCTACATCCGGCAGCAAGGCCTCCGATCAGGCCTCTTCATTGATGGTGTTCCCAGGTTCACGCTGGTCCCTGGTGGTAGCAGTTATTAGGGCCCCAGCTATGGGCAAATAGTTAACACCTCCCAAATATGGTCGAAACACTATGAAAGTGTGAAAATACATTTTAACACCAGCAATACATTTTTGAAAAAACAATATTACATCATTCAGTCAGTTATGTGCCATGCGTGATACACGTTTAGGCGATCATGTATCTTTCAATACATGACTGACGAGGCAGATATTTTTTCCGCAGTAGGTTGTTATTTCTTTCTGCGGTGCACTAGTTTCTATCCAAGGCTATAGAACCCGGTTTGTTCTGCTATTTACACATAGCTGTTGGGAGAAGATGCATAGATTTCCCAAGGGTATTAGTACGTAAGTGAATGTAAAACATTTAAAATATATATATATATATATTTATTACCAGCAATACATTTTTGTAAAAAAAAAATTATTACCAGCAATAAAAATCTTGTCGGCATCAAATAACACATTGAGGTTGATACGCCATAAAACAAACTAAACCATATAATCTTTCTTCTTTCCGACAGTCTCAACAGCACTTTTTTTTTGTAAATCCTGGCCAGCCGTTCAGAGCTTCGCTCACTCTTTCTCGCGCGCGCGCCCGTTTCCGTCTTGTTTTTTTTCTTCTGTCCCTACTTTCTTTCTTTCTTTCTTTCTTTCTTTCTTTCTTAACATCCTCCCCGTGTTTTTATTTGTAAATCGTGGCCTGGCAATTAGCCTTTTCACGGTTTCTCTCTCTCTCGCGTGCGCGTGCGTGGATGTTTCCCCTTTGCTTCTTTCTCTCTTTCTTTGTCTGTTGTCTTTATATTTCTTCTATCTCTCTCTCTCTCTATTTCTTTCCTTTTTTTAACTTCTTCCTCTGTCCCTCTTTCTGTAAATCCTGGCCGAGCCATCAACCTTCATCCATCGCCTTGACAAAACTGACAGCAGTAGACACAGTCACTCATCACAATTTGCAATCTTCGCTTTAACTGTCACCCAATTGCTCATCTTTCTTCGCCAGCTGTGATCCCACGATCGGCAAAAAAAGAAAAAAAAATGTTTTAGTTAAATCTGAAAAGCCAAGATGGCGTCAATTTTGGGTGGCACTGAGTTTGCTTGTGTTGACCCTTCCGACCCCAGCCTCTTCAAAACGAAGACAGCTTAGCGGTCAGGCCGTTTTGCATTACCTGTGGGCGTCTTTAGTTTAGCTAATAATTATAGCAAAAGAATAAATAAAGCATGATTTACAATACAGAGAAAAATACCAGGGACAAGACTATTAATGTTACCTGAAGTGTACAGCATCAGTCAGATCAGTAAAAAATCAATTAGTAGGCGAGCTAAAGTGACATCTGGAGCTATTTTATTTTTAGCTACAGCAACGAATATTAGCCGTTTCCTTATAAGGAAATTGTTCAGTAACCACTACTACTGTCGCTTGGAATTTATAAAATCTTTCTCTTAAAATAATTTTTAAGGAAAATAAGTTTCTCAAGTCCAGTAGCTGTTATTGCTCTTTCCAGTACAGATGGGGGTTTCTTTCCTAACCTTTTGTTTAAAAAAGGGAAATATCTCTTGGAAGAAAAATATTGGCAATAGAATGATAAAGACGGCGATGGCAAAGCCTATTTCAAGACTATGTTGAAGCAACGCGATCGCTTAAGAGACAAAAGTATCTGAGTGCCTCGTATGAAAGCCTTGAACAAATAAGACTGTAATCTAAGAAGCAGAGTAAAGGAACTGGTCAATTAAACGGTTCAGTTTACTCGGGAACTAATTTTGTCTAAATGCAGATAAATATTTTGTTTGTATAGATCAGTGGTTCCCAACTAATTTTGGGCCTTGCTCCACTTTGGTATTTCTAAAATTCTGGTGCCCCCGTCTGTAATATTTAATTCTTACATATTCAAAATTTTACTGCAGTTCACGTGAAGGAACTTAAAAGGCCATTAACTTGGTCTCTAAACAAGCCTCCAAAAGACCATGGCGTCCATGAAAGAGAAAAATCAAAAAACAAAAAGACATTTAAATAAAAATAGTTTCAAATCATATAATAGAGAACTGAAAGGCTGAAATATAAAATATTTGAATGAAAGTTTATTCTGTAATATACTTTGGTCATTTTAACCATGAAATCATAATGCAAAATGAAATTTGAGCACACGTTGGTATAGTAAGCCGAAGGGTTCACATCCTACGCATTCCCGACCAGAATATTACCATGCCCAATCGGTGTGCATGCACCCAAGATGGGAATCATTGGAATATATATATTACTCATAAATTTACTAACTTAAGCTCATTTACCTCCCTTCACATTACAGATGGGATAGAAAATCTATAAATAAATACACATTGATAATTATTATATGGTTTGATTAATAATAATAATAATAATACCCTTGAATAAACATTTTGTCTTCCATTTTAATTCACCCAGAAAAATCATATACATGTTAACTCCTCTAATCATTTAAGACCAGAAGCCATGAGAGCCATGTGTGATGAATAATCAAGGCCATTTATTATTAATATTACACTCCACGAATATAATAATATTAATAATAAAAAGGGTAAATGATCGCTTACACTGGGGATTAAGTAACAACATGTTGTTGCCGTCCTGGTTTACGCGTTGTGGGATAAACACGTGTGTCGCCTGAAATGCCCACAACAAACATGACAGACTCGGAGTATGAGTCCACGTAAAAAATGTAAAGAAACACCAAGAACCGATATACATGTACAAATAAATGATAATGTATTAACAACAAAAAGTTATAAGCAACAAAGACCATAATGTGTGTGTAACAAATAGATATGGCAATTTATTTGGTCCAAAGTATGTGAAGTGAGTGAATGTTCGTACGTATGTATGTGTGTATGTATTGTTCATGGTGCTTCCCAAAAAAGGAAAACGCGATCTTCTGCGAGAGAGTTACATATTGACGTATAAGCGGAAAAGTAAGAAGAGAGATAAAATTTTATAGCAGAATATTTACAATGCAGGAGAGCGTCCCCTAGGAGCAGTTCCGTAAATTAGGAGGAGTTAACCCGACAATGTCTTCTGAATTCACGGCTTAGCATTTCTAGCTGTTTTCAGTAATGTTGTCCTCTGAAAGATCGCTATATCAGACAGCCATTTACTTAATTTGGTAAGTATTTAAGCTTGTTGTGTTTGATTGTTACGAACACTGAAAACATCCTCAATACAATTGAGTACTGAAATGTCCACGGCCTGACATTTATTCTGACATTTCGCCAGCGAAAAACTGAATTTTTCGTACGTTTAAATGCAAAAAAATATGATGATGATTTAGGCATCACTTTCCAAGAAGACATATGATCCATTGCTAAGGATGCAGCTAAAATGGTCGGCTCCCTGTACTGCTCCAATAAGTACTTGCCTCCTGCTATCATCAACCTTTACAAGAGTCAGATTACGCCAAAAATGGAGTATTGTTGTCATATTTGAGTAGGATTTACCCAGACCTCACTCTCCAGACTTGATAGAGATCAAAAGCGTCTCAGAGCCATTATTATTTTTCTCCACCCTTCAACTTATCTCTCACGAATGCAATGTGGCAAGCTTCTCGCTGCTCTAACACTAATTCCACGGAATGTGCACGGAGGAACTACATTCCTTGGTACCACCGAGGCAAACATTTTCAGCAAGAACACGCCATGCCACTTACATAGTAGTAAAACACTACTATTTACTCCTGCTTCAAAAACAAATCTAGTGTCGCTGACAAAACTAACCTGGCTGTTCGTCTCGAAAAGGACCTCCAATCGGTTGTGGACCGGGCAGGAATTGGCTGGTTAACTTTGATGCCTCAAAAACAAAACTGCTCTCTATTACTCACCAAAGAGAACCATCCCTGCACCCCCATTAGAATGTCTGACGCTCAACTCCACGAGAGCACCTCTTCGCGACTGCTCGGTCTCACATTATCCGCTAACCTGAGATGGAACAAATTGAGTCAATAGCTTTGTCCACCAAAAGGAAAGGTGGATCCCTGTGCCGCGCCAGGAATTTTTTCTCGCCGGAGTCGATCCTTCAAATCTACAAATCAACCATTCGCCCTTGCAGGGAGTATTGCTGCCATATATGGTCTGGTGCCCATTCTGTTTGCCTCGGGGTTGTTGATAAGATCCAGAGACGGATATGCAACGTAATTGGCCCTGATCTGGCATCTTGTCTGCAGTCGCTTTCTCACAGACGTGCCGTCGCCTACGATGAGCTGCTTTCACTGGTCCCCAGACTTCATGAATTTAAGCGTTCAACTAGGCTGGCATCTCGCTCTCACCCTTTCAGTGTCGAAACTGTTAAATGTAGCCATCTCTTCTACTCCAATAGCTTCATGTCTCGCCCTTCTCGCCCGTGGAACTTCCTCCCCTTTTCCTGTTTCCCTGATAGCTATAATCTCCAACTATTCAAATGTAATGTCAATCGACGTTTCCAGACGCCCTGATCTATCCCCTATCCTTCTCTTCATCGTTTCCTCTATCACTCCTATTTGCTCTCGCTCGAACTCTCTGCAACCCTTTCCATGCTAGTGGCTTGCTTCGGGGGAACGCTTAAAAAAAGCCCTCCGTATTCTATTGGCAAGAAGTAGGTTCCACCTTAGGAACTTTTTTCTCACGAACCACTGCCCTGTGGAACCGACTCTCCGATCACTAAAATCTTAACCTGTTCGAGGCTAAGGTTAACCATTATATTACACTCCTATTTACACAAGTGTCCTCCTAATGTAACCCTCTACCTCGAGTAGTCCCCGGGACTTGTAAAGGGTGTGCCTCACTGTAAAAAAAAGGACACTTGAAAGGAGAAAGATATATTTCATAATGGCAGATTAAAACAAGGGTATTAGAACTAGAATAAATCGAAAACAAAGTGAAATAATTCCATTCTTACCATGTGTTGTGACCAAGTAAATGGTTAAAGAACTAACAAAACAAGTGTTACAGATATATCATATATTAAACAGTAAGTACAACAGAAGAGTATTACACGACTAGTGAGTGTGTGTCCGTTGACCCAGCGTTCAATCTATTCGACTGTTAATATTTAACAGCCTCCGACGAGGGATGTATGTGGCACAAAGCCGAGGTTAATGTGGGTTCTCCGGGTCTGTAGGCTCGACCAAAAATATGCCCGTAGAACCCGCATAAGCGGGTTCGGGTCTGTCTACCCACCTGGAAGAAACGTTGCCCTGCGGCTAAGCCTCGTCCGGGTTCCTCTCTGCCGAGGCAGAGAGTTCGACAGTTACGAACAGTCTGGTCGACTGATAATATTTAACAGCCCTCCCACGAGGGTGTATGTGGCACAAGGCCGGTTTATTGTGGGTACTCCGAGCCCGTAGGCTCGGCCAAAAATATTCCCTTTGAACCCGCCTAAACGGGTTCAGGGACTGTCTACCTCCCCGGACGAAACTTTGTCCTGCGACAAAGCTTCGTCCGGGTTCCTCTCCGTCGAGGCAGAGAGTTCGACAGCAATGAACAGTCTGGTCGACTGATCCCCAAGGCCTTCTCTCCTAATCTTATATTAGGCGGAAGAGTCCAACATAGACTCTTTAGAGGGAGGACACCACAACACCATGGTTGATTGGTCCAAATTATCAGTCTTGGAAAAATAATTTACTTTGACTCTTTCGACGCATTTTCCAGGTGTGGCGTAAAAACTGGTGCTGTGCTTTAAAAATAATACACTTGTTGTTTGATAACCATAAATCTCTATGAAATGCAATGTACGCTGAAAACTGAGCTTGATTATGTCTTCAGCCATACTAATATTGGGATGTAATTAGAGACAATATTTTCTTTTGGTGGGCATTACCAACCTTGTCCGTTGGATTTTTTCATCAC